GATGTCAAAATCTCCAACAAATAATGCTTGGAAGTTTGGTAAAAGGCAAGAACGATGAGGACTAAAAGTATCAGAACTGGGTGACCTGAGCCTCAGAGCGTCAGGGCTTTTGCAAGACATAAAACTGTGGAGAAGCATCACTGGGAAACTGGGAAGATGTCAGCAACCCCAGCTCCCACACCTGAAGGGACTGGGAATGAGGCAGTACCAACTTTCCTCGGTGACAACTGGAAAGACAAGTACAAGCTTAAATAATAATAAGGAGAGCGAGAGAACAGTCAGTGAGGATGTTGAAAAGTAGAGTTCATAGGTCAAAAGTCAGAATTTCTGAGAGCAAAACAAAAGGGTTTGGGAGGTAGAGGTGGAGTAAGCAACTGAGCCAGGGAGAGGAAGCCTGAATAAATATGAGGATGAGTGTTCAGGGAAGGAGAGATGACCAATAAGATTTAAGTTTAGGTGATGAACAGCGGAAAAAGTGGAGTGAACTGAGGTCTCACAGAATCACCTGTGACCCGGAAAGAAGGTCTGACAGTGAAGCTTCAAAAACAGAGTATATGTTTCTCTCTTAATCTGCAAGGCTGTACAGTGGCAGTGGCCAGTAGGATATGCAAGCTTTGAGGTTCATTGTGTGTAGGCAACAGGCAAGGCCAATATGATATCCTGGAATGGGCCACAGTGACCCCACGTGTGTTTCCTAGGGCCAGTGTTGAAGGGAAAGATGGCAGGGATTCATAAATACCTCTTGCGTTCACGATTGTCTCAGAGTCTGTGAAGACTGAATCTGTAGGTAAAAACTGTCATTCATTAACACTTATAAGAATTAGACAAAATGGTGGCTGATACAGAGCATCTGTAGCTTCCCAAATGCTTATAGCCTCTTCTTTTCTTCTCTGAATTGTCAATGATGCATTCTCAGGGCTTTTTGTTTGTATTCCATTTCCTAGGTTTAACAGAGAAACAAATGAGAAATTGTGTTCGGATTGAAACAGAGAAACGCGTTGCATTTTTTTTTACAAAAAAATCCGTGAAAGAAAAGTGTACCACTAATAAGATGTCAGAGAAATATGAAGGTAACAGTACTCTCTCTTAGCAGCTTACCCAGTGTGTCCTGAGGCTGATGGTAATTCAAGTACCACATTGCACATGACTGTGTTATTTCTGACTTTCATTTATTTCATTTATCTATCACAGAGCCTTACATGTGGTGAAGAGCGCAAATAAAATATCATTTGTATCACTTAAAAGGGTTAAGGTTTTCTTATCTTATACTTAGGTTGTTTAATTTAATTAACATTGATCCTTCCCTTAGGCTGAACTCAATATTAGACATTGTGATGTAAAAAGCTTACAAAGTAATGATATATATAAACCACCATTCAAAATACAGACTGGTAAGGGTCTAAGAACATTAGGTAGAGAAGGCTCAGGCAACCAAGCCAGAAACCCTAGTGTTATCTTTGACTTCTCTCTCTTTCTATCCTCCACAGCCAATAAGTATTCACTCTACCTTCTTAATATTTCTCCAAGTTATCCCCATTTCTTCACTTGCATAGGCACATCCTCCATTCATTATTTCCAACCTGGATTACTACAGAAGCCTCCTAACTGGCTCCTGGCCTCTAGTCTTGCATTTTTCCAATCTTTTCTACATATTTTCTGTGAGAGGAATGTTCTTCAAGGCAAATCTTATCATGAAACTCATAGGCCTTAAACATGTTGTGGTTTCACAAAGCCTTAAAGATAAGTTCCTGCCTCTCTTTCTCTGCCTAGTTAAACTGTTTGTAGTCTCCTAAAAAAGTCATGTTCTCTCCTGTGCCTTTCCATTTTAAATAATTCCTTCCTCTGTGTAAAATTCTCATTCTCTTACTTCTGACTGATTGCTACTCATTCTGCTCAGAACAAAAGAAAACAAAATCACAGAAACCTCTAAAATACAAACCTTATATTCTCATGGGGAGACAGATAAGGAATAAATAAAAATATAACATTTACTATAATAATGAATAGATAATTTAAAATATCAAAGCATGTAAATGGTCTACACACAGATTCCCATGTTAAGCATGAGCAAAGTGAGAACTGGTTTGACAGCTACACATTCATATTTTAGCAAAAAAAGAAAGAGGAGCAAATACAACAGCATGCAAAACAGACAAACACCTAATAATAGAAACCAAAGAATGGATAAAGATTATTTAACAGTTTTTCATAAAATAGAATAATTTAATAAGTATGTGAATTTAATAAGTCAAAAGCTCGGAAACAAAAAAGATTAAATATAAGAACTAATTGAAAAGAGAGATACCAAAGCTAAGGCACAAAGGCAAACAAACATTGAAAAAGATCATTATAGTTGTAAATAAATTAGGCACTGCAGGGACAGAATATAATTGCTGTATTTCGAGGACACTGATTCCCATATATTAAATTATATTTGTCAATGCATTTCCATTAGAGTTTCTTTAATAATTGTTAATATCTGAATCTTTTCACTGTATTCATTATAAATTACTTTAAATCTTTCCTACATATAATTAATTTTATTAATTTTATTTTCAGATGATTATATTTTGTCACTGTCAATTGGTATATGATATATTGGCAGATACTAATTTCTCTCCTATTTTTGTATGAAAAATAAATACCAAAACCTCTAAAATTTTCTTTAAAAATTTTCTGTTTTATTTTATGTGCTTCACTTAGAAAAGAATCATACTACTTTTCGTAGGGAGAGTATTTTACCCGTTGTCCTAATCATTCTAGACTATCTTATGGTAGGGGCATGGCTCATCCTTACTGGCACTGCAGAATACACATCAAATTAATGGCATTAACTACCACCCATATCACGAGACTCTGTTTCATTTAATTTTATTTCTTACCACAATTTCCTATTGCTCAATTCCTATTCATGTCAAAGACACCATTAGTTAAGAGGGATCGTTTTGAAAATTTACGTAAAAATCTATGCTGTGTATATTAAATGTCATTGCCCCTAAAGGAACATTGGGCCAACTCTTAACTTGAGGTTTAATTCTTTTTTCCTTTGATAAGTTGTGCTTTTACTCCTGTCTTTAAGTTTAAAGGCATTCTGTCAACTTTTTTCTGTGATTGGAAGTCTTCAGCCTGGCAGTCAACTGATTGGATATCAGAAGCCATGTGGTTTATATTATCCCAGGGGACCGAGACATATACGAATATGCATATCAAAAGTGGAGGTTTGGCATCAGAAAGCGGGAAGCAGTGTAGTCAGGACTTGGGCTGCATTTGCATTCCAGCTCCTCCTACCCCACTTTAGTAACCATGTGTTCCAGGCCAAATCACTTCTAGCTTTAATGTCCATGTTTATAACAATACCTGCTTCTCGGGGCTGTTGTGAGAATTACGTAAGATAATGTGTGCAAAGTGCCTGGCACATACGAGCAGCTTAAAAAACGGTAGCTGTTCGCACTATCATTACTATTTCTATTATTAAACTCCCTGTAGGGATGAGGAGTAGTGTTCTCTTGCTTTCCACTTAGCTTACTTAATGGAGCTACGTGACTGTACCATTTACTTCTCCCTCCTGTGCAAATAGGCTTATCTTTAAAGGTTGAATGTGCAATAAAATTAAATGAGTAATTCTTTTTGAAACACCTTGCAGGTTCGTTTTTGCAGGGATCAGAGAAATCCATCTCCTTCGTTAAAGGTGGAAGGAGCGAGTACGCAGCGGCTCTGGCGTGGAAGAAAGAGGCCTCTGATCCGGAGGAAAAGGTCTTTTCTGAGTGGTTAAAATCGGTGAAGGATAATCCTGCTGTGATTGACTTTGAGGTAAGATTATAAAGTGTTATGGGTAAGAGAGCTAAAGTAGTTCTCTAGCGGCCCAAAGGAATTGTCATACAGTTTTTTTTTCATTTCCTTCTCAGATGATAAAGGAAATGTCTTTCTCTAGTGTGCTTGCACAGTGCACCTTCTTTTAAAATGTTACGTTACACATCTGTGGCTTTTGCTATTCAAACAAGCATTCTCTAGCATAGTGTTTAGAATTTCCAGCATGCATAAAACATCAGGAAAGGGAATTTAGTGAATAAGACTGCTCAAACTTGCCTTGAGTGGTACTCTCCATCTCCCTTTGTATATAAAAAATTTGATTTCTGTATTTTTTTTTTCAACTCTTTATTTTATGGACACTCCTAAATCTTCATTTATAGCTCTATGGAATAAAAGGGATTTTAGATCTGTTTGGCTTTCTGTTTCTATCACCTTTAATTCAATTTTCCAAGTTATATTTGTTGTAATTACATTAAAAGTATATATTTATTATTATTATTATTATTTTGTTATTATTTATGGAATACTTTGCCCACATATCGATCTTATGCAAAACTAGTTTTGCCTAAAACATAACCACATTTGTAAAAGCCCTCTAACAAGCTCTTCTGCTCATTTCATTTAAATGAAGATGAAGGAGTTCAATCATTATGAATGTAGAATAATTTACATGCAGCATGAAGATACGTTGAGCTTTCCAGGTTACGGTAGGAAAATAAGATCCAGCCACTCAACTGGGCATTTGTGAGTCATACGCTGAACTAAATAGTCATTCCTTTGGGTTTTAAAATATTAATATGAGCCCTGGTTTTGTGTTAGCCTCATCATTTGTTATTGTAATTCTTCTATTCATCCTGCTAGTGAGGTCATTTTTCCATTTTCTCCCACTCTACATTTTCTCCTGTGGTTCCACCAAAAGCTAATAATGTCCCTGGAAAAACATAGAACACAGAAAGCTTCTCTTCATTTTCCCTGGATTTTTCTCTTTGAGTCAAACTTAATGAGGTTTCAGCAAAGCATTTCTGAACTGCCTAACTCTAGGTCATCTATCTCAGTGCTTTGACGCATGCATTTGATGCCTAATAAATAACATATTGCAAGTCTACGTAAGCAACACCTCATGTGAGGCTTCCTTCATAGTAGAAGTCTAGGGAAAGGAAGCTCCTGATACATCACACCTACCAGACTTTACTAACAACAGAATGCAGCCAATCTCTCAGAGAGCTTGCTCTACCCACTATAGAAGGCAAAGAAACTCCCAGGCCCTCCCTTTTTCTCCACTGGTTCATAAGCAGATATCCGATATCCTACAATAATCCATTTTAAGTGTGGGATTTTCCAGGCTTTGCCTCTCATCCCATGAGAATTGGGCAGTGATGGCAACACATGCTAAAGAGATGTGTCTGCAACTGGACCTCCTCTCTACCATTTTCTCTTAGCTTGCTCCCATCACAGACTTGGTAAGAAACATCCCCTGTGCAGTGACAAGACGGAACAACCTCAGGAAAGCTTTTCGAGAATATGCGGCCAAGTTTGACCCTTGCCAGTGTGCTCCATGTCCTAATAACGGCCGCCCCACACTCTCAGGATCTGAATGTCTGTGTGTGTGCCAGAGTGGCACTTATGGTGAGAACTGTGAGCGACGCTCTCCGGATTATAAATCTAGTAAGTATCAGTGACTTACTGTGAGGCAGGTACCTTTTCCTCTCCAGAAGTTATCCTAGGTTGGTCAATTAAAACAAAAATAAAAACAAACTTCTATTAGCATCTTCCACCTTATGCCAAGTCACAAGGAAAATAAGCCTGGAGAAAGTTAGACTCTAATGTCACACAGCCCTGGTATGAGTCTCAGCTGTGACCTACCAACTCTATGACCTTGGGAAAGTCACCTAGCCTCTGTATGCCTCAATCTTTTCATTCATAAAATGGGCAGTATGTGCCCAAAGATTTTTAAAAAATATTTATATAAAGGATAACAGCATAATGCCTGTAACACAAAATAAATAAAGAATAGAAAATGCTACAAAATAAAATTTGTGACACTGTTGTTATAAGCCTTTTATATATTGTAATGCAGAATGAAGGTGGCTTTGTAATAAGGATAAATTAAGCCACAACGAAAGTTTTCATACAGGACTAAGTAATGTTCATGGTTACCTCTAATCCTCCTTAGAAAGAAGATCTGTCACGGGAGTGAGAGTATATTCTGTTACCTTTAAAAACAAAATTCGATATATATTCTATTCAGAAGTTTATATTTATACATATATGCATGCATATACGCATGTGTGGGATATGTTGCAGATGATTGAAAATGTTTCATAATCGTTACCATTATTCAGGCTGTGGGAACAGGAAAGGGAAATCAGGCAATATGTCTAATCCTCCCAATAATCCTGTGATATTCCACAAAGGATCACACAGCTAAAAAGTGAGGAAACCAAGTTGGCCTGGCTTCAAAGCCCCATTCTCTCAGGTAAACCATGATCAGTGGCTGAGTCTTCCTGTGTCTAGGTGCAGTAGATGGGAACTGGGGCTGCTGGTCTTCCTGGAGCTCATGCGATGCTACGTATAAGAGATCAAGAACACGAGAATGCAACAACCCTGCCCACAGTCTTGGAGGGAAACCCTGTGAGGGGCAGAAGCGGCAAGAGGAGCACTGCACATTTTCAATAATGGAGAACAAGTAAGGATGTGTAATGGGAAAGAATGGGTCATATTACCCCACTAACAGAAAGTTAAGACATTTATTATCCTACTGCTAAGTAAAGAAATAGTTAGAATTTTACCCATTCCAACGTAACACATTAGTGAGGTATTAGATTTGCTGCTATCCCTTTCTCTGTAATATTTATTTCTTTATTATATATTATATATGTGCATATATACATGAATATCTATGCATACATATATGCATATGAATTTTAGGAAAAAGGCTGTGTTGCCTTCAGGTCTTTAGGGAAGGCAGGCCGCTTCAAGCCATTTATCAGTGATGATGAAGATATAAAAGAAGTAGACCTTCCTGAAGTAGAATCAGATACAGAATGTTCTCAGCCAGTTCCTCCGGAAAATGGATTTATCCGAGTAAGCATCCTGACCTTCACTCTAGGTTTGGAGTTCAAAAAAATAGAACTTAAAACGTATGTTTTTTGTTTTTTGTTTTTTATTTAGAGTTATCGTTTTCCTTATTTAATAATCTTCTGTTGAATTAAAAAGTAAAAAAGTAATGTTTAAAAATACTTTGCCACTCTTCCATCTTGAATTCCCTAGAGATGTCTTTACACCTGGTTGTTAGACCAAAGGATGGCAGTTTCCTTGTGTTCCTTGGCACCACTAATTCGTGTGCTAATGGTACATTTATGTGAACGGAGAATGGAACTTGAGTATAATACAGGTTGGGATGACTTGTGAGAATCTACAACTGAAGTCTGACTGTTTAATTCTGAGTCCGAGCAAACTAATCCCCAATTTGATCATGTTATCAGAGAGACACACTAGTTTGGCTATAATCATAGGAAGTGTTGTGTCTGTAACATCTTATTAAGTTAGAAACCTATAGCACTCTTAACCAGTCCATACAATTTTAATATAATTAACATAAAATTAATCATTGTATCTTTTTTCATTAAGGCACAATATGTTTCTTTGATTAAAAGAAAAAACTGAATTTTTTTTTGTCAGACAGGTCTGTGGCTTTAGATATAAACTTTTAAGAGACATATAGTATTTAAAATTGATTACAGAAGCCATACTCCTTAATCAATTTTACCTTTCTTTTTTTAAAATTTACCTTTCTTAAACTCACTAAAGTCTTAATTAATCATTTTTCAACTGTATCATATTTATGAACAAAGATCAACAACCTTGTATTCATCAAGGCTAGCAAATAAATATCCATGGAATGTAGTCTGAGCTAATGTTCTTCCCTATTCATTTGTCTTCTGCAAGGTACCACGCTTAAAGGTTTTAAAGGGAAGAAATACCTTGGAGGGAGGTAATGTCAATTGTCTTTACTCTAGAACAGAGATTCTCAAATTCTGAATGCTCTGGAGGGCTTGCTCTGACTCACTCTCAGAGTTTGATTCAGTAGGTGTTGGATGAAATGACCTTACCTAATAAGTTCTCAGATAATACTGATGTTGCTAGTTCAGAAGAGCCACAATTAAGGAACAAAATCTTTAAAACAGGGGTCAGCAAACTATGACGCACAGGCCAAATCTGATCTGCCATCTGTTTTCTTTTATTATCTTTTTTTTTTTAAATAAAGTTTTATTGGAACATGACCACACTCATGTGTTTACATCTTGCCTATGGCTGCTTAATCCAACCATGGCAGAGGTGAGTAGTTACAGTAGACACTTGTGTGGTCTGCAATTGACTACTGAGGACCTTTAAAGGACAAGTTTGCCAGTCCTTGCCCTAGAACATTATCCTCAAAATTACATTTTGTCAGATTCAGATACCTCAATAAGTTTTAATCTATGCTGCTTACAAAAACTGTTAAAATTATCAGCATTCTAATTTTAAAAACACACAAAGGGTTTAAACAATGATTCATTTTTCTATGATTCCTTTTACAAAATTAGATTTTGTTTCCATTTTCATTAGTAAACTCCTTGTCTTATTGTCCTCTTTATTAAAGGTCTACAATCTATCTGACAGTTTTTACTCAAAAGTAATACAATTTTAGTTTTCCTAAGGAGCACTTTCTGAAATGTTTAGTAGCAAAATGTCCCTCATATGGAATCAAACAGAAGCAGATATGCCCAATTTCAGGGTAAAACAATTATGTCTTTGCACATGAAGATATTTGTTCAAGGACCAAGACACAAGTTCTACTCTTATAGGCAAGTGACAGTAACTTTAGGTAAGGTTTTCTTGCTTAGTCAGTCTAGCAGCTGTGTTGGTCTAAGCTCAGAGGTTGTAACATACACTTACAGGTTATAGCTTCATAAGAGAAATGAAAGTGGAAACTTAAGGCAATAATTTATTACAGGAAGAATGCAAAGAAAAAGTTCAGCCTTTGAATAAAACATGCAGATCATTAATATTATCCATCACTTTATTTCTCTTAGAAACAAAGTCACACCCATAATAACCAATGGTAGGATATTCTTCTTCTATTCAGGAAATTAAGAATCTTCTAGGAGACAAGTTGAATTATGTGGCTGGATAATAACAAAAGTCAACTATTAAGCTTTCACCTCCCTCAAAATTCTCAACTTCCATTCTCAGAGAATAACTTCCTAGTTAATTCTCTGCATTTTTCTCACATTCAGTAAGGAAAAAGAGTGTCGCATTACTGTCTCTCTAAGAAGAATAGTGTTTTGCATTCTTTCAGCAAAGAGTTATTAAGCCCTGTGTAAAGATTTGTGAGATGGAAATCTGGTTGTGGAGGTGCCTCTCGAATGTCAGGGAGGAACTGATAAAAGTGATTTAACACTGTAAAAATAGACCTTTGTGCAAGTTTTCCCTAGAACTTAAAGTGATGGTTCACTCCTTAAAGCTGGGGAAATGAACTGGGTTTTCATAGAGGAATTTCTATTTGAAAAGGGTCTTGAGAGAAGGGAAGAGAGAAAGCATTAAGGATAGCGAGGGAAGAGCCAGGTAAAGACCTAGAAGCATGCAAGAGAATAAATGTTAAGTTCAAAGAATGGCAGGTGTTTTGTTTTGCTAGGGCATAGGGTTTATGGGAGGAGATGGCAAGAGGTGAGGATGGTAACGTGGGTTAAAGCTAATATTCCAAACCAGGTAAGACCCATTTTATCTGGAAAATTATAGTAAACCACCCCTATCTCCCCAACCCTCCCCACACACAACAGCAGTTGTATTTTAATTATCTATAATTGGGAAAATATGTAATTAAAATAAATATTTAATAGGACTTGAGTGACATTTTTAAATGATTTGTAGTGAATTAGTCATAATATCAACTGGTTATGTTTGCATACATAGAATACAGTATTTATCCAGTTTGTAACCACTACAAGATAAGCATATAGTTTTTTTGCTTGTTTGTTTGTTTTTATTCTTGAAATAGTAGGCCATCCCATATACAGTGAGGAGCAAATCCGTAAGTAAAATATATATATCTATATCAATTTAGAGAAGCATTCTGGAAGATGGATTAGAAGAAAGACCAATTAGAAAGTCGGTATGGTAAGAGACAATAAATGCCACGAACAAAGGCAGCGATGATGGCGAAGGACAGGAGAGAACTTTGAGAGATATTTGAAAGTAGAAACTGAGAGAAGAGAACTCTGTGGCTGAATGAATAGAAAGAATCCAGAATAACTTTGAGGTGTCGTATTCTTCATAGCACTAATAAGTTGCTGATTTCTGTTTGAATTTCAGAATGTAAAGAAACTGTACTCAGTTGGGGAAGATGCTGAAATTTCATGCTATACTGGATTCAAAATTGTTGGATACCAGTACTTCAGATGCTTACCAGACAGGACCTGGAGACAGCTAGATGTGGAATGCCAACGTGAGAACTGGGCAGCCATTTTGTGCGACTACTCTAAAGAAAGAATGTGTCCAAAATAAATAAATCAAAGTCACACCCTTAGATCAGTACATTTTACTATTTTTTTGGTACCTCTGGTGAAAAGGTTTAGTAAAGCAGAAAATAGGATGCATCTGCTAAAATTAGATTTCAAATTATCTTTCTATTTCAGTTCTAATATGCCCTACATATTAGCCTCATACACCCAAGACTGCGAAGCATGTGCTTAAAAAGAAACCCAGGAAATCTGCTCATTGCATCTAACGACAGACATCTGTTTTGCCTAATGTACAAACTGATGCAAATTAATAAATCCCAGGAAGATGATACAAACACCGTTTATGTATCGAAAATGGGATTTTATGTGAAATGCAGTTGTCTCCTTGGAGCCCGTTCACATTCTTTGCTGAGGAGAAGAGGATGAGTTTGTAGAGGATGAGTTTATTCCACACAGTAAAATCAAAATGAGATTCAAGCAAGGGAAATCCAAGGAGTTATTATGGGACCCCATGATGCAGAATTGAGGCCAATGTCAATAGAATGTCCTGCGTCTGTATCACCCACAATGTGGTGACTTGCTTTTGAAAAAATGAGGAGAAGAGGGATGAAGATTATCTCTTGAAAGGAAAAGTTCCCAATAATGTAATGAAAATTTGAAGTATCTGGAGCTAGTTCCTTAGCAAGGGAACCTAGATAATGGGACTAAAAGGAAGGCTCTTGGAGGAACCCCAAGTTTTCTTATCAAAAGGTGGCATTAAAGCAGAATGAATTCAATAAATCACAGTAAAATCACTTCTTGGTATAAAATTTGCCTACATCTGGTGAGTATTCTGTTCCACTAAACATGTCTGAAATTTTTCTCTGCCTGTAGGGACACAGTGCCTGAAGCCCGTTGTACAGGAAGTCCTAAAGATCTCACCATTTCAAGGATCATATGAAATTGGTGAATCCATTGAGCTAATCTGTCCCAAAGGCTTTGTCATTTCTGGGCCATCGACGTACACATGCACTGAGGATTCCTGGGCACCGTCCATTTCAAACTCACTCACTTGTGAAAATGGTGAGTAGCAGCTCAGGATTCTGGGATCTGCTAAGTGGGTGTCCCCCGGGATTGACAGTACAGCATCTACCATGGTGCTGTTTCTTGAGTGTGTTTTGGAAGGAGAAAGCAGGTTGTGTTTCACCCTTTGCAGACGATGATGTCAGGCAGCAGATGAGAAGTTACTGTTCAAGTGGATATCTTCAAATTTTAGAGAATGAGGTCAATTTCTTTTCTAATTTAAAACTTTAATATTTTGAGAGTACAAGCTCTCTCATCTAATAAAATCATAGTTAACTGAAAATTTAGGTAAAGTGAAAGGCCATAAAAAAGTAGTCCAGACTACTTTTTAATTACTTAAGCATTTCATTTGAACTTAAAACACAGAAATACACATTTATTCACTAATTTTATGATGTAGGACTAAGCTCTTATTTCTTAATGAGTCTCCTAATTTGGATTTCAAGGCTTCTTTCTCAAATAAAGCTAATACAGTTTTCTCTGAACAATGATTTTTAACCCCAGGTAGTGTACTTCTTTAAAAAACACCTCCATCTAGATCTCATCCCGGATTCTGATGTCATTGAGCTGGAGAGGGCCCAGTATTTACTGTTTGTTTAAAATCTCTCCTAGCTAACCCAAATATGTGTAGAGTTGAGAACCATTATTTTCCAGACAGATGAAAACTTAAAGGTACTTTTGAAGTAAATTGACTATAGAATGCTCTAAATTCTTTATATATTTTTCTTTACTTTTTTACAATATTCTCATTCACAATTAATTTAAAACAAAATTTTTGCAAATCACTTTTAATTGTTCAAAAATTTCAATTTAGTTTTTATAATAATAACTCCCTTTTTCTCCTTTATTTCATCAGTTGACATACTTAATCAACTTACCCAGTTACAATAACAACTGGCATAAATAGATTTGGAACAAACAAAACAGACTCTCGGTAAACCTGTAGCTTGACTGGTGGGAGCAGAAGTGTGAAGTTGTAGAAGAGAGGAAGCACAAACCTTGAAGTTCAGTGTCAGACAGGCAGCTGGTATAGAGGGACCAGAGAGTATCAGCCTGGCCAGTCAGTTAGCTGGAGGACAGTTAAGAGAGTTTCTATCAATTCGTGTCTTCTAAATTTCTCAACATGCTTGTTCAAATAATGTCTCATTTTAAGTCAGAGAATCCTTAAGGCTGTATCTGAGATCAGATATGAGTAGGCCTATTTTGCTTATTTAAAACACACACACACACACACACACACACACACACACACACACACACGACATAGAGAAGTTGAATTAGACCCAAGGCAGACAGTTTGGATCAAATAGGAACTGTGCAATAGCTCTGCTAATTCCCCACACTCTTTGCTATCTTGCTTTCTTTATCCTCTTCTGGATTTTTATAATATGTGAAGGAAAGGGGAAAAGTTAATCTGTTAAACAACCTTAAAATTGATGAGGAAATCTCATGGAAATTTATAAGAACTTCAGGTTAATATTGTGGCTTAGTTCCGCTTGACTCCTGATCATATATATCAGAGGGATGGATATGTTTGGGATGCACAGGCTTCAGAAAGTTAAGATCCTTGGGGTATATTAGGCAGCATCTTCTTTATGCAAATAACAGTACACACACAGAGATAGAGATAGAGATAGAGACAGACAGAGATGAGAGAGAGAGAGAGAGAGAGAGGGAGAGAGAGAGAAAGAGAGAGAGAGAGAGAGACACACGACTCTGTGTTTGGAAAAGAAATTATAATCCAAACTGAGAGATAATGAAATGTTCTATATTAAATAATGGAAATCAATATCCTATCTCTTATATTTTCTCTCTAGTAACATTGACAAAATAGATTAATGAAGGAAATCACAGAAAGAGAAAGAAAATCATCAATAAAACTAGACACTTTTAATGTGTGGGGAGCTGTAAGGTAAAGAGACTCTCAGGCCATTTATTGGCTAGGGAAAGACTTTTTATTCTTTCAATGCGAAAAAAGCAAGCTGCTGCTGCCTCCACTGTTACTTGTTTCCTTCCTCTGAGAAGCTGACACCTCCAGAGGGTCCCCTTGTTCTCAGCCCTTCAGAGATGCAAGACTCTCATTTCTGCATTGCTTACAAACTGCGCTGGGGGTGTGGGCAGCCAAGGGCCTGTTCCAGCTTCATCCTGAGCCCTCGTGAGGGAGCAAAGACTCCTTGCATGGAGTCATTGACAATTTCAAATCTGTAGTGACAGAGAAATCCTCTGTGCCACTTAAAAGTTGATTCTCTTTTGAAACAATGTATGGCTTGAGGTCCCTCCCTGACCTAAGTGTGGATTTATGTACAAAGGGCAAAGAGGTATAAAAGAAACCAAAGAAAAACAATCCCATGTCAGTGGAAATAATCTTAGTGTCTGAGGCCTTCTCAGCAGCTGTAGGCCTCCATGTTCATGAAAGTTCTGGGCCAAATATCACCAGATGGAATGAGAGTCCTAACAGAGGATAACAGTAGGAAACGGAAATAGCAGTGAAGAAGAAAACCTACCGATTTTTTAAATCTTTATTTTTGCCTCTAACATAAACCTTCTTCCTTTATCAAACTTTCTGCCTGACAGGCTCAGAGGAGAAGCCATGAGCTGGGTCTCCTGTTCTGCCATCTAATGTGTCGGAATATACAGATAGCTGCCTACACCCCTCCTTTGACAACTGCTTGCTTACAGAGGCCATTGTGGCTCTGTGGATACCTGCTTAGTCAGACGCAGTTCAGGGAAGTTTGTTTCATCCGACAGGCTCCAGAGGTCAGCACCAGCTCCAATTCAACCAGTCTAAAGGTTCTCTGAATGAGCCTTAACGGAAGCAAAGATAACCAAGGTTTCTCCCTCTGTATAATGTGCCCAAGTGTTAGTCTCTCTGCTTTAATTCCCCTTCCTCACATACACACTAGCCACTTGCTCATCTTAGCTTGAACATCATTTCCTTATGGGTCTTTCCTTACATTTCTCAGTTGGCATCTTTCTGTTATGTGATCTTCTGGAACCATGTTCCCTTTCCCCAAAATACCTGTCTCAGCCTGTAAGTGTAAACCCCTTACTATGATTATTTGATTAATGTCTGTTTTCCCGCTATCCTTTAGATTCATGAAGAAAGGAACCACTGCTATTTTCACTTTTTTCTTTTCCACCATAATATCCTAGTGCCTAGTATATAATGCAGGGATAAATAGCTACATTTAGGTGTTGCATTTCTTCATTGATTTTTCTTAGAAGAAAATCAGACTTTCGAGCCATTACTTCCCAGCACCTATTTGCAGGATTGTTGTCACTGATATCCGTATTTCTACACGTAATAGACAATATTTTGGTCCTCAGTCCCCCTTCACCACTCAGCAACATTCAGCACTGTCGACCATCTTCTGCACATACATCCTTTCTGCGGTTTCCAAGACACAATGACATCTTATTTAGATTCTAGCTCTCTAGCTGTTGCCTTGTCTTTTGGGGAGGCTCCTGCCTGTGCTTGGATGTTATATGTTGGAGTTCCTCACCTGATGCTACACTCTCCTGCTGGGGAATCTCACCCATACCCATAGCTTCCATGATCCCCCATACACTAATAACAAATTTAAATCTTTAGCACAGACTTTTCTACTGAGTTTTAGACCTGAATATCCAAATTTCTATATACCTATTTTGTTTAAAAGTCTTAAAGATAACACAAATTCAACATATGCAGAGAGGAACTCTCGAGTCATCACTCTCCCCTCCCTAAAACTAACATCTTTGAATATTTTCTATTTCAGTTAAGGTACTAATGGCTGTTTTCTTATGCAAACCAGAAACCTAAGAATCATGATTCACAGCTCTCATATCTTATCCACAAAATGCGATAGCATCTATTTTATCTGCTAAATATGTCTCAAGTTTACCCACTTCTCTCCATTTTTCACCTTGGGGACTTTGGTCTATATTACCATCTTCCTTCACCTGAACTACTATAATAGCCTCATAGATTGTCTGCCCCTAGCCCTCTTAACCACCATGCCTCTCCATTTTCCACACAGAAGCCAGAATTAATTTCTTTTGCAAAATCTAGACCTAGTTTTGTCATACCATCCACTGCTTAAAACTCATCACACTTTCCACTGCTTATAAAGTAAGGACAAAAGTTCTTCAAAAGCCTTGAAAGACCCTGCACAACCTGCCACACACCGACCTCTCTGGCCATATCTTGTTCCATGCTCTTGTTTTTATGCACTTCAATCTCACTGGCCTTCTTTCAGTTCCAGAAAAGTCACCTGCTGCCTCTCTTTTGAGCACTTTCATGCCTGATATTTCCTTTGCTTTGAATGCTTCTTTACTTCTCTTCTCATTTTACCGTTCCCAGCCATTCTGGCTACATAAATTTTTTTGATTATATGCTTTCCCTTTAATAGCACTAATAAGAGCAGTAATTCTATTTGCATTAGTGTGTGCGTTTGATTAATGTCTGGCTGCCTCCACAAGACTATAAGCTCTGTGAGCATAGAATCTGGGTCAATTTTTGCTCAATCCGCTTTCACCAAAACGTAATGCAATGCTGGGAATACTATAGTTGCTCAATAAATATTTAAAAAACAAATGAACAGAAATTTCACAAATTCCATTTTCTTCAGTTATCTGAACTTGACAGCAATTTTAGGTAGAAAAAAATGACACCTCATGAGAGCTAGAAGGGACATTTCAGATGGAATATTTCATGTCAACTTATTTTCAAAAGCCAAAATGAATGCTCTAACTTCAGGAGGTAAATGAAAACCTTTCACCATTGCCTTTTCTCCTAGGTTGAGATTCATCGCGTAAAATCTATATTGTACACTGTCCTTTACTCCTTTTTCTTTTCTTTCAGAGATTCTGAAAAACTTAAAGGGCCATTGTCAACTAGGACAAAAACAATTGGGATCTGAATGCATTTGCATGTCTCCGGAAGAAGACTGTAGGTGAGAGGCACTCTCTGGACTGTGTGTAGAAATTGGGGAAATCGGTCTAGTGTAACCAGCTTGATAAAGAAGCTGCGCTTCTCGGAGCACAAACATGAAACGTATTAATTTTTTCACATAGCTGATACTCTTTGTGCTCGGTTGAATTCCTCCTTCCCCACTGGTTGTAAGTTTTCTAATTATCTCTCAGCCCAGTTCCCTAAGTTTGCATGGCTCTTGTTTATTAAAACAGTCTCATTTTGATGATAAAGACTTGTTTCTGTCTATTTTAAAACTTCCGACTCAATTATCTCAAAACCTACCTCTCTCTTAAGGAGAAGGCTGTGACCCCAAAAGCTTGGAGTAGAGAAAGTGGTGTGAGTATGGACTTCATACACACATAGCTTTGTCAGTTTGTTCTTTCATGTAGGGGCAGAGAGATTGAAGGAGAAAGATGATATTTCCTCATGTGACTGCCATGACTAGTTAGCTATCTCTTCTTTGTTGTTACAACTGCCCTTTATTTACATGAACAAGCCTAGGAGTATCAAGAGCGCTTATTCATTTAAGGACTACTTTCAGTGGAATTTAATCCAAAATAGCATTAGCTTAAGATAAAATTTTTCTTTCTCTGTCTCACAAAATAAATACAGAGATAGGCAAGCTAGGGCTGGTGTGGTGAATCTCAGTTCATGTAACACTGAGGCTGCTTCTTGCTCTCTGTTTTGCTATCCTTAAAGTTATTTCATGGTCTAAGATTGCTCTGCTGCAACAGGAAGGAAGGGAGACCAAAAACAAACACAGTCTCTCTTTTTAAAGAGAAATCCTGAAGGCCCATCATTTGCTTCCATCTCCTTAACCTTCTCATATTCACATGCCACACATCCCTGCAAGAGAGGCTGTGAAATGCAGTTCTTTGGCTGGCTGTAAAGGCATTTGTGGATAACAGTAGAGTACTGAGGAGAAGAGGGAATGAACACTGGGGTAAGGGGCCAGCAGGCTGTGCCCAGTTGCCATACTTTCCTTTTAACAGCGACTAGCTCTCATGTCCCTCTGTGCTTAAGATGAACAAATGCTTGTAAGGACTCATTCATTCACTCATGTAAACCCTACAGGGCCTTTGGCTGTATAATTCTACTGACATAAAACAGCCCAAAGGTGGCTCTCTCTGCTCTCCTCAGTATCCACCACAAGCTGTCCACCACACAGCTTCTTGCTGCTGGACTCCCCTCACCCAGCGGACGTCCTGCTGGAGTACTTACAACATTCATGTTGTCCACTTAATGCAGGAAAAACTTTTCTTATGTTTGCAATACTAAACCATGAAAATAGACTGCCTTCCAAAATCATCTAAATTTCAGCTCTTCCCTGACTCTCTAGCCTCTTTCTACAGTCCTCAGTTCTCTTGTATATGGCATTGAGGTGTTTGTGGGAGTGGCTGACCCCACAGCCTAAGTTCTCCAAACTTAGTGAGTGGCCTTTTTTTCTCATCTATGGTTTCTAGTTCTTTAAACACTGGTGCACTGATTATTAACTCTAAAATTGACATCAGAGAAGAGACTCAAATTTGGAGTAATCAAGGAGTTCTTATCCTCTCAGCAAGACAAGGGCTGTGGCCGCTGGTTCTTTCTTGGTAGCAGGATCCATCATCTACTTAGAGAGATTAAGCAAGTTAGCCAAGCATAACTTAAAAGTGCATGTTAATCATAAAACAAACACACATGCAAAGCTATAATGATATATGATTCTAGTGTTGCAATTAATGAATGTTACTGAGTTCAGAAGAGGTACAGGCTACCATGGGCTAGGTTGATTGAGGTTAGTTTTAAAACGTAGGCAGTAATTGAGCTAGACACAGAGAGGCAGATTGGAGAGACAATGCAATGCTGATTGAGCAGAGCATGGGATGGCAGCAAAGGAAGAATAATCTTACCAGTTTAGAAAATGATCAGTACAATTGTCAGGTGATAAAGAGAGATTAAAGAGGATGAGAAAATAATTCTAGAAAGGCAAGTTTGTTGGAAGCAAAATATGGAAGATCTTCATTACCAGAGTTTAAGAATGTAGGTTTTAATTCAAAGGCGATTGAGAGTAATACCAAGACTAGGATGAAATTTTAGAATGAGGAATCTCAGAGCATGCAAGACAAAATGAGGAACTGAGAAAAAAAAAAAAGAAATCTGAGGAGAGGGGTAGCAAGGTGACGAAGACTGGGAAGTAAGTTAACATATTAAGTTGGCTAGATGCTATCTCTTTTTTTTTTTTTTTTCTGGTCTTCATATATAAATACTTGCTTTCCTCTCTTGGGCAGCTCTAATTCAGAAGATCTCTGTGTGTTTGATTCAGACTCCAGCCATTACTTTACTTCATCTGCTTGTAAATTTTTGGCAAAGAAGTGTTTAAATAATCAGCAACTCCATTTTCTGCATATTGGTTCCTGCCAAGATGGTCCACAGTTAGAATGGGGTCTTGAAAGGACAAAACTTTCATCCAATAGCACAAAGAGAGAATCCTGCGGCTATGACACCTGCTACGACTGGGAAAAATGTTCAGGTGAGCGCCAGTGATGACCACATACTAGAAGTGCTCTCGCTTAACCTTCATCTCAGCGAAATTTCCTCTTCTTTGCATTCAAACGCTCTCTTTTAAAATCAACCTTTTCTTAATCAAAAATAATTTTAGTTTATTGTAAAAACATTATAAAATTATTTAAACAGAAAAGAAAAACATAACCCACTTATGATTAGAAATAACTATGTTAACAATTTTGGTATAAATCTTTCTAATCTTTTTTCCATGGCTATATAATCATTACCACCTTTAGATCACAGTAAGAAGAGTACCCATCCTCATCTCATGCTTCAGGCACTCTTTCTCACTCCCGCTTCAGAGGACATGCATCAAAATTGTTTAAGTTTTCTTCTGGCATTTGGAACAGGCTGGGACCAGCATAAGTAGCATGCCCTGGGTCTAGACTGAGTTCCTCATGGGCACCAATAGCTGGAAGCATCTTCCTAAAAATGTTTTACATCCTATTTCAGTGCCTGGGACTAGCCAAGGCTGGCAGTATTATTCAGGGAGGACACTCTGAACCCAGACAGGGTCTTTCATGGACTCAAACAGTGGTTCTCCCTGACCCTCTACTGCTTCTCTCCTCTCCCATGCCTGGGATCAAGTAGATGCTCTAAGGAGTTCTGGGATTCCATCTACAGAGTCATCCCTGGCTCAGAGGTAGACTTTCATTGCCAGGGAGCAGCATGATAAGCCTCCTGACAGCAAGGTAGTCTCTCCTGAGATTGTTTGGGATTGAACTGCTAGTATGGTGCACTGACACTCTAATTTGGAGTGACTTTAATTGTTTGCATAGAGAAGTATTCCATAAAAAAATTTTCTCCAGGGTCATACATACCTCAGGAGTAGCCCTGATTATATTCCAAATTTAAAAAAAATAAGATCATACTCTACATCCTATTTTACATATTGCTGCTTTTCACTTATATCATGAAACTATTTCCATGTCACTATATATTATTCTGTCACGTAATTTTCAATATCTGCAAAAGCCTATATGGCTATTTTGTGATTTATTTAACCAATTTTCTGTTAGACAGTTAAATTTTTCCCACAATTTTGCTATTACATAGACAAATCTATCACAAATAAATCTATAATGTAAGATTATTTCCTTAGGATATACCTTAGAAAATACACCTTAGGATATACTTTAGAAATTTCTAGTTAAATATTATTTGAAATTATAAAATCTGTTGTATCAACTTGCTTTCCAGAAATGTTTTACCGTATGACATTCCTATCTGCACTGTATGATAAAGACGTCCCTCCCACACCCTCACCAAACCTTGGAGTTATCACTCCTTTATATCTTTGCCAACTTGATACTTAAGAAGTGGCATTACATTTCTATTTTTTGTAATTGTATTGGCTGTTGCCATCTTGTTTGTGGATTGCTTGGAAGCAGAAACTTCAGAGCAGTACATTTGCTCTAAGATGAAGTTTGATCCCAAAATAGCCTACCCAGGCTTCATATAATACATAAATATGGGTTGAAGATTAAGATTTAACAGAACCCAAATAGGCAACTAGATTTCCCTTGTGTTTATCTTAAACTGAGGCATAAAGTATGCAACAGAAACTTGTTGAATCATTACCTCTAACTTTTGCTAAAACTATCTTACTTTAAAAAAAAAAAAAAGACAAAAAACTTTTATCGTTCTCGTTCATCCTCTTTCACTTTCCAGCCCCGTGTTCTTCAACTCAGTCCTGTAAAAGGGGAGAAGCTTTATTACTCAGATAAAGTTTCTTCCTGATCCACTTAAAGCTAATTATCAAGATCTAGCTTCCTTGAAGGTGGCAGGATTGAACTCATGACAGAGGATATACACAGAAGCCATGGTCAGCAGACCATATGATGGTGGCAACTCAGGACCTCAATGTCTGGGGCTTCCAACCTTCAAGCCATATTTAAACAAGCCATATTTGAACTGTAGGAGACAGCAAACCAGGCCTCATAGGTACATTGCCCAATTCTAATCCTATTAAATCAACTTATAGATAAACGCTATTATTCATTCTTTGCTCGATCAACACCATTATCCAACTGACATCTTTCTCAGAAACAATAATTTGTAGTAGAAAAAAGCTGACAGCATTACATAACATTATTTTTTATCTAAAATATAAACCCTTTCTTTGAAAATTGTAGTGTAAGAACATTATTATCAAAAAATACATGCAGAAAATAAAAGGAATTTGGACAGCGGATCAAATAAAAATGGTCTCTGTCTGTACTACAATCGGTAACTCAGGCATTTTGGGATGTGTTTAGTGTTAAGTTCCATTTCTCATTTATCATAAAGAAAAAGGTCTTCATGGAACTCTTCTGTTGCAAAGAACTATTTTTTTGCTGTTTTTCCACAAATTTTTCTTTTCAAATCTGTCCAAGTAATAAATAATCCGCGGCTTACAATTTCACAAAAATCTTTTACTATTAGTTCTTTGTTGTAAGTATATCTAAGTCCCATGGTCTCTAGGAGTCTAAGTTTGTCTGAAAAAAAAACACTAAAAAGTTTGAATACTTAATCAATATCACTCAAGTTAGCAGAATGTCTTGGGGGTAATCACACTAAAACATGAATATTTCTTAATAAGAGATCTACATCATTTAAAATATTCTTTGATCTTGCACACAATCAGAAAACGGAAAGCATTTTCTCCCCCGTAGATATGGTCTGCCTCTGGCAGCCTTCTTTAATTGATGAGCAAAAGTCAATTTCACAGAGAATTCAGTTCAAGTAGCACTGGAGAACAGCGTCAATGTACACGCCACAGCAATTATGAAGAAAGAGTAAGCTGAAATTGTGTTTTATACCCAACTCACTCATGACAAATTAGGATATTATTAATCTTGAATCGAATTGAATGTCACCTTGATTAAATTGTGTTCTTGATTACATTGTGTGCTTTGCTACTGATTTCCTTCTCTTTCTAAAATAAGAAAAAGTTTAAAATCAAACTTCAAAATAACATCAAGTTCACTTTTCAAAAGTTAGAACACAAATGGTTGTGAAATGAGCCTATTTTTATGAATATTATGTGTTTTGTCTGAATTTCAAAAATATTCACCATCAATCAACAGGAAGGGAAGATTTTTTTCAGCAAACATTTATTTGGTACCCAATATATGGAAGTCACTATACAAGGTATGATGAGAGGTCTGAAGATAAAGGGCCTTTGTACACTTAAATCGGTCACGGTAATTGGAGAAGTAACTACATAATACTTACATGAATAACTTTAATGCAAGGTTGTGTGTAATAAGAGCCATAAGAGAGATAAATGTCTTCTGGCCTGGAAGTATTTCATAAGGTTGAGAGTGTGGGAACTGAGTGTTGGGGGATGTATTCGTGGAGGAGGTGGGAAAGTTCTTTGGTGTCAGTAAGTCTGAAAATAACCCTGCTAAGAGCATTTAAGCCATAACCATACTAAAAAAGTGGTGACTATGGCCTTTCTGGAAGCCTAGGAAACTGACCTCTCCAGAGGTGGAACAGTCTCCTGCACCTCACCATACCCTGTTCTTTCCAATAATGGAGAAGACTTTCCACAAATAGTATCTTCTCCAGCTGGTTAACAGAGGGCGTAGAAGGGAAACACATGCTTTTTCATGAACTGTTTCCTACCAAAGACAGAAAGCCTATGAGTATGAGGATTTGCCCACTTCCCTGCTATATTTTCTCCCATTGGTTGAGACACATGGGAAAGTACTGATATCTGCCTGAACGAAGCTGTAATCACTGCTGATTTTCAGACTGGCTCAGATATTTTGGCAATGTGAATTATCCCAGATCCATCAAATACATTTCTTTTTGAATACTTATATCTGCACCCCAAATTCAGAATTTAAAACCAATTAATGAAGCAGAATTAATTGAGCACCTTGGTAAGAGCTGAGTGGGATGGACAGATGGATGAGCCATAGTTTCTGCTCTCAAAGTCCTTATAGGTGTCTTAGGAGAAAAACAATAGGAAAAGCTAACAGGAAAGTATAAAAATGTCAGATATAGTACAGACAAGTTTACACCATTAAAGTTTAGTTAAATAAAAGATTGGCGAGGGGCTAAGTGGCTATGAAATGCTTCATGGAGAAGGTAAGACTTGTAGAAACTGGACATGTGGGGAAAAGTAGGAAAGAGAACATTAGTCTGGCAAACAAAAAGGGAGGGGGGATGTTATGGGCTAAAGGACAAAAACTGAAACACCTTTGGGGTCTTGTTTGGGAAACAGAGAGGGGGTTACTTCACCCAGAATGGAGAAAGCCAGAAAAGACAATGTTGCAAAGGGATGTGGAGGTTAAACTGTAGGTGACCTTGAACTCTGATTAAAACATGCATGTGTATAAATAAGCTTGTATTCCTTTACTCAAAACTAATTTAACATACTTAGTTTGGGTAACTTTACTCCTAATTCTATTTCATGAAATTATTTCATGAACAAAAGATTTATATGAATTATAAAGTGGTTAGGTGGTTCTGAAACCAGGCCTCATAAGAATTACTCAATTTAATTACTTATTAAAAATACAGTTACCCAAGCATAACACAGGAATATTCTAGAAAGAAATCAACAAATGTGGTATAAAGTTAGGTAAAAGAGTTCAGGCCTACGAGTCATGTGTGATTTGAAACCTGTATCTGCCACATACTAATCGTGTGACCATTACTTAATTGTGGGGCAAATCACTTAATATCTCTGAGCTCTGCTTCCTCAACTGTAGAATTGGTATATGGACATATATTTCATACATCTGCTGTGAAGGTTAAATGAAATAAGGCATGTAAAGTGCTTGGCATATTTCGTGGGTTTTGTAATACATGATCAATAAATGATAAAGATAAATGTACTTAGGCAATGCCAATGAGAAAAGAACAGAAAGGACATACTGAAGACATTGGGAAAATGGATTGACCAGGTGGAACTGATTGGCCGTGGGCAGTGAGTGAGAGTAAGATGTTAGAGATAACCCGACCGCTGAATCTTATTGGCTTACTCTGTAGTCTGCTTTCATATTTTGGGTCAATGCCTTTGTTTCAGCTTTCTCATTTATTGCCACCAAGGCGCTTACCACTCTGGAGACAAGCTGGGTAATATTAAACCCTAAGGTACTGTGGGGAGTCACATTCTCTCTCTCTCTCCCTCACTCTCGCTCTCGCTCTTGCTCTCATTGCAGCCTCCACTTCCAAATGTGTCTGCCTGTTGCCCTCCCAGTGCTCCAAAGGCGGAAATCAACTCTACTGCATCAGAATGGGATCGTCGATGAGTAAGAAGACGGTGAACATCTGTGAAGTGGGAACTATAAGATGCGCCAAGAGGAAAATGGAAATACTGCATCCTGGCAGGTGTTTGGCTTAACACAATTACTGATAAACAGATTTACTGTCCAAAAATAATCCCTACAAAAGTACAAACAGACTGGCATGCCCAGAAGTTACTGACAAATTCTTTAGTGTTAGTTTCATATCATTCTTCTCCTCTGCCTCTCCTCTCTTAGACTCCCCTATCTTGTTCCAGCCCACAACACCCTGTAGCATATCCTTAGGTAATACTTTTTTTTGAATCTAATAAATTCTTCCGTTCATGTTGCACTAAAATGATGGGATTTCTGAGGACCTTATGAAGCCCCCGGTACTAAGCATTCTCACAAGTAGAAATAAGGACAAACACTATAATTCTCTTCAATGAATCAATAAACATAGAGATCTACTACAACTCGTAAAACACATTCTTGAAACCCAACCTTTATGCATTCATTTGACAAATAATTTTGAATGCCTGCAATGTGCCAAGACCTGTTTAAGGTGCTGGCAAGTCAGCAGTGAGTGAAGCAGACAAAATCCCTGGCCTTCAAGGATCTTGCATTCGTGTGGAGGAAGACATACAAAAATAAATAAATAAATAAATAAATAAGCACATAAAATATATAGTATGTTCGATGGTGATAATTGCTGTGGAGAGAATAATGCAGGGAAGGGTGAACTCCATCCATAAGCCTCATCTGAAGCTAGGAAACAGTCCATAGTAATAAGCATCACAGCAAGGATGGTTGGACCCAAATGAAAACTGCCTGTTCAAAGCAGCTCGTAAACTTCTGAAGTTCCAGTCTCTCAGGAAGGAGAAAAGGGATTCTCTTTACCTCAGCTAAAGTGCACTACAAAGTTTTTAAGCGGGTGTGTGTGTGTGTGTGTGTGTGTGTGTGTGTGTGTGTGTGTGTGTGTGTGTTGGAAAATTGTCAGAGAATTTTGAAGGAATAATTTTTAAAGTAAATCACATCTTTCGTAATAGACCCTACCAAGTAGACACTTCTTAGAGAGGCACGAGTGTCACTTTGAATTGGGGAAGAGAAGCATCTTTGGAACAGTGGTCCTCAAACATTAGTGTGCGTCATCATCACCTGGAGTGCTGCTGAATGCAGTGCCTGTGAACTACCCCTGATTTATGCTTCAGTAGGTCTGGGTGGGGGTGGCTGAGAATCTGGATTTTGAACAACTTTCCAGGTAGTACAGCTTACGGTCATCAGGAGATCACATTTTGAGAACACTTAGTTTAGAAATGGAGTCATCATACAGCGAATCCTGATTTAGTCATCATTCTCAAAACCTTATCCAGACAATCTCCAAGCAGGCGAGTAGACGCAGATTCCCTACTTCTATAACTCACTGGGATCCCCCCACAGTGGAAGAGGCTATGAGCCACAGCCTCCTGGCAGCACCCTCTCTAGACCTTATTCATTAAATGCAGCCCCTCCTCCATCTCCTCAATCATAGGATGTTGGCAAAATCTAAAACATCTTGCATTATCAAAAGAGAGTGAGAAAGGAAAAAACCCAGAAGCAGAAAACATATTTCCTAGTATAATGGCAATTGAGTGGGAATTTTTCTTTTCCCAGGAGTCAGTAACTCATCTTTTTCCCAGCCATGCCACCCCACTCCCTTCTCACTACCAGAGGGCACAGGCCACTCTTGGAAGCATCATGCTTTCAGCACTTCCAAGATCCCAAACTGAAGGCAAAGAGACAGTAAATACTTCCATATCCTAATGAAAGCCACCAACAATTGAGCCAAGAAACTTTCCTCAGGACTGAATTGGCTCTACTCTACCTACCTCTCATGCCAGCCCTACATTTTCCAGGCGAGAGGGCCAGACTAGGGGAGGAGTGGGGGAGCCATGAGAATCTGCAGCCACATGAATGTAATGTTCATAGTGAGAGTCCCAGTCCTCCTCTAAGTCCTTTTCGTCCCCTTGGTGAGGAGGCAGAAGATGCCGAAAGTAGCCACTGGAGCCTTGAGAGAATCATCTGTAGGATGCGGGGGCACCTACAGTAAGGATATATAGTGTTGCCCTCACTGGCTGGATGCTGCGGACTCTTAGAGCTGCCACTAGTGAGCAGCGTCCTGGAGTAGTTCCTGAGAGGTGTGGATCCATCCAGGGAGTCTCCTTTACATCAACATGAGACCACTTCCTGCTTAGAGAGTGCTGAGGGCAGGATGCTTTCAAGGGTGGTCAGCACGATTTCAGCAGTGAGAAGGGAGTTGTGTGGCAGGACTAGAAGGGAGAGAGGTGCAGCCCTTTCTCTGTCTGAGTCGCAAGGCATAGGGAAGGAACATGGAACTCCGGTGATTCTCCTGGCTCTGTGGGGAGGAGCACAGAGAAGAGGAAAGGCAGGCACTCCGAGGCCATCCTGAATCTTGGACATGAATCTACAGAAAACAACAAAAGGAGACACGGCTGCCTCTCTCACAGAAAGTTCTGGGGAAAAAAGCAAGTTGGAGTAAAGTAAAACGCCAACTCAAGAAAACACAAGGACTAACAATAACATAGAACAAGATTTAATTAGCACAAGTCCAGAGGTGATGTCTCATTACCGACTGTAACATCAAACAACACCTACTACCATCTCTCCCAGTCTACTTCCTTGTTTCTGACACCAGAGAACCAGTCTCAGCAGATGGATGGGAGGGAGGTGTCCTAGAATGAGACATGCCCTTCCTCATCACTTTCATGATGCTGGAGGGCTTGGAAACATGCAAGAGCAATCGTCGTCCCTTCCCTTCCCCAGTCCTCTGACCCACAAGCCTGGCTGACACTGGAAGTGGGAAGGAGGTCAGGTGCAAATTGGATATGAAAGTGGAGACTTAAACTGGACCAACTTTTATAAACAGAAACTTACCAGAAATCTATATGATCTGTCCCAGACTTATTTGAGGCAAGAGAAAAATGAAATTGCGTAGAACACTGTGCAAGCTGTATCAGTCTGCCAGAACTGCCACAACAAAGTACCACAAACTGGGTGGCCTAAAATAATGGAAATTTATCATTTCACTTCTAGAAGCTATATTTTTTTGAAATCAGCGTATCAGAAAGGCCCTGTTCTTCCTGACACCAGTAGGATAGAATTCTTCCTTGCCTTTTCTGGCCTTTGGTGTTTGTCAGAAATCCTTGCCTTTCCTGGCTTATAGCTGCCTCGCTCCAGTCTCTGCTTCCATCGCCACGTGGCTGTCTTCATCTTCTTCCTTCTGTGCGTGTCTGTCTTCCCAGATTCGCATTGTCTTATGAAAATAGCAGTCACGTTGGATTAAGCCCACTCTAATGACCTTCTTTTCATTAGATTACATCTGCAAAGATCCTATTTCTAAATAGGGTCACATTCACAGGTACCAGAGGTTTGAACTTCAACTTACCCCTTTTTGCAGACACAAGTCAATCCATAGCACTGTAATTGAAAAAAAAAAAAGGTTTTCTGCTTGCCCCTCATAATGTAATGAAAGGCTTATCCCAGCTATAACATTCATTTTGTTTGATTAAAATCAGTCGTTATTTTAAAATATTTTATTCTTTTACTTGTAGCAATCTTCTCTTTTAATGGAGATTAGTTGGCCTTTTTACCACTTTAGTTACCTTTTTGGCAAAGGATTTTTTGAGTGCACTAATCCATTAAAGTTTGCATTAGGTTAATTTGCATACCACTTACCAGTTGAATTTTTCACACTCTGATATTAATATTAATATAGCAATTTAGTACAATAAATGTTAAGAGCTAGTGAGAAAATTGTCATCATGAAGCAGAGAGTAAAACTGAAACATTTTAAGTCCGTGGAATTTTGACCTAGAATCTCCACCACTGTCCTTGGTTAAATAAATTCTAGATCAAAGGTAAAAGCTTTATCCTCTTAAGGCTATTAGAGAAGAATACTAAGCATTCATTCTTTGTAGCTTAGGTAACAGGAAACCAACTCAGGTCCTTTTGTAAAATGTAGATTTTAATTTTTGTTGATTCTGCAAGATATTGAGAAAATAAAAGAGACCCCAGTTTAAAGACTTTTATAAATCGACATGCTATATATATCTCAGACATCCTGGAAGCAGAGTTCTAAGACTATGATTTTAAAACTCCAGTCATTTGGTGAGGTGACATTCAAGCTTCACTAACAAGTGCTGCTTGTTCCTCTTTCTTGGCAGTCTTCAGCAAAGCTCACAGAATTTTAGAATATTTTACCGTTTTTTTTCTCTTTCTACTAAAGCCTGCAACTCACACAACCAATATTCCTTAAAGATTGAGCCCTTCTGTTGTTTGCAAATACCCACAAGCTAAACCTAAACCACTTCCCTTCCTAAATTCCAATTTCTGAGTAACAAGAAGCTGACAGATCATGATGATGTCTCCGGTTGGTGTTAAGCACCAAATACCCTAAAGCTTGATTAATTAGATTCTAAATGGCCGGCTCTCTCTAAGGTCACCTTCATTCTTTTGGAATACATTGTGTAGAGAATCAATGAGGCATCAAGCTGCTAACCAAACAAATGGCCTACAAAATTATAGTTGTATCCATTTTATTTTATGAGAGTGAGACAGGCCACTGCTATCCCATTTGTCTTCTTGACAAGTTCTAGCTGCACAGCTTCAGTTCCACGTGTCGAATGTCATTTAGTAGAGGTGCGTGTCACCAGTCAAGGAACTCCAAGGGACAGATGGTGCATTGAAAGTCATGCTTACAAAGATTTATATAGCAAGATGTTCATGACAACATTATTTATAATAGCAAAAAATGACAGAGCTTAAATGTCCAGTAATAAATTATGGCCTTTCCATATAATGGAACAGTACGAGACCACTGACAAACATCTTTAAAAAAAATTTTAAAGGGCATGATAAAAAGTAAAAAACCAGGTTACAATACTATATATGATTATAGCTATATAAATTGTGTGTGTATAAAACTTTAAAAGCAATGATTGATAGAATAAATCACTAGAATTTGGATTTATTTTCTTTTTCTTATTTATATCATTCTGCGTTTTCTAAATTTTTACAATCAGCATGCTTTTTTTTTTATAATTGGGCATGAAAAGTCATT